AGTATCAAAACACGGTTCCTGTTTAAAATTCAAACAAAAGAATGGCACGTGATTGGATCGTCTACGGTAGGGCCCCCTTACGTTACACGAAGCTAATACAATGACTCGGGACCCACTCGGGCAGGAACACTCAAATAAAACACTGTAACGTCTGCGAGTTTATTTATTATAAACTTATTCTGAAAAACCCGGAATTTGGATGTGGTACATTAAAAGCAAAGCAAGCAAACCCTAAAGGTGCCGCACTCTCGCAAAAGCAGACTACCAAGGAGAAAAGAGCGCGACTTGAGAAAAACCTTGGCCTTGAATAAAACCCAAACTATGCTAATCACAAGCAAATTAAAACATCAACCACCTAAGCAGAACATGTAACACTACCTTAATTAATGAATAAATTCAAGTAGCAGGGTACGTTTGAACAGTATGCGTAGAGTATTCGTCACAACATGTCATGTACTTTCCTGTAATCGCGGCTAGAAGGTAACTCACTCTTTAGTTAGTCATTGGGTGGTGAACCTGGTTATTTGTTAGGTTTGGGCCAGCGTCTTCGCTTGATTGCCCTCCTGTTTCACGGTTATTCTGTTAGGAATTGGGCTGGCATATTTGCCTATTAACCCGCAGCGCAGTTACGATTGTTAGGGGCAACACATTCACGCATTTATTGATATAAGTCACCTTACTAGTTATTCGTATCATTGTATATCGAATAGGGTGGTGTGAAGTTTGTAAAAACATGTCTGATCTATTATTCATGTTGTGACGTAACAATATGCAGTTATGACAATACACAGTGTGCTCGTGGGGCCCCAATTATGCTCAGTTTCCACATAATGACATTGGTATAAAACCCAGACTTCCGGAACTACTACCTGTGCTTCGTAACACTCCCCTGACATCGGTCTCGTAACGACACAAAACTGAAGGTGGTTAAGAGATGGGTCTCCGCCCATGTGTAGGATGGCCTTTGTTACAGCACTTCATCCCTAAAGTTGGAGGTTCGAGGGCCCTCGGATCCTTTTATGCTTTAGCTCTAGAACACCTTTCTATTCTAGCGCCCGAGCTCCCTCTCACGGTAGAAAGATATTAGTTACAGACAACAAGGCACACACATTCGCGAATGTTACGAGTCACCCTAAACTAAATACACCTAGCATTGCATGCCCTACTTCACGGAAGTCGAGGTTCGACATAGGTACACCCCCCGTGCACCGTGTAACTGAGTAAACGTGGTCTAAACCTGAGATATTGTAGACTTCCACAAGCACATGGGTATTAGTTAACACTCGCATGTGGTAAATTACATATTAGCACAATGGTATTTGGAAAATATCTGATTTAACAAATGGCACAATTCATATAAGTACATAAGAGTAAACTACATAAAATCAACGATAAAATACTTTACCCGACACCAAAGTGGTTGAACTCACAAACACCAAAAACAAAGCTAAACTCTATGAATACAACTCAAAATACAATGAAGCTGTGATGATCTTAGCCTCCTACTATCTTGGTGGCTAACGCCAACTTCAAGTCACACTGGAATATGGGACCACATTCGGTAGTAGCGGGAATGCCAAATTAACATGGCCGCCTATTTGAATATTCTCGCTTACATTTCCCGCGAGAATCTGTCACTCTGGGGCCACTCCGAGTGCACTAAGATCGTGATCGTCATGTAGGACACCTACGTCGTGTAATAAATGGGTTCTCAGCAGGCACTGAGGGCGTTTTATGGGTAAGGAACACCAAAAGCAATAGTTGAGTATGTTTATATTGCAGCTAATACCAAAACGGTGCCCCTGCAGAGGGTCTTAAGTGGTTCTATACTACTCCGGCATTTACCTTACGAATTAGGAAAACTGCAGGAAAACCTAATTTCGGAGTAGTCCTATAATGAACAACATCCAATGTACAGCACTTTTGAGCCCTCTCGAAACCGGGGTAACTACTACAAACACGCTATGAGTAACCAAAATGGGATCGAGCCATTCCCCAAGTATTACAACACATACATCGGACAAAACTAAGAGATGTCAAATATACCCCGCCGAGCGGGAGGAGTACCCAGGCGCAGTGGGGTCCCTGTAAACCTGGGCTAAAGTTGTTGGGTTCGGAACGAGTGAAAATGTTAGTTTTAGGTTCACCAAGGCCGTATAAACTCGAATAGCCCGATCCCCTCTAAACAAGCACACTTCCCTCTTGATTACTCACAGTCCCAAATAAGCAAATATAATGAAATGCAATGAAATAATCGAGAGTGACTAAAAAGCACAATACACAAATTAAATATGTACACATGCAAGTATGTACAGCACAGATACAGCCCTACCGACAATGAAACATGATTGCCAATACCAACAAAGGTTACACATTAAAGGTACAAGTGATTGAATTCAGTAAGTACATAAATAAAGGGTTACAATCTGCATTCAAGTTACACACATTTATAGATTAATTGAATAAAGCAAATACCTCACCTGATATAACAAAGCAAAAGCACACAGCAATGATTAAGGTATCACAAAATATTTCAAGACAAGCCGTACTTTACACTTCAGCCGGTTACAAGACAAAGACCATGAACACACATGTTAAATCCTATTTATTTGACCAACCCAAGCCACGCGGTAATTTGATCTGCTAATACCCCTAAACCACCCCAAAATCGCCCATTCCCTGCATTTCTAAGAAAAAAGTGGACTGCAGGTGTTGAAATTGTAAACACATGTCGTCTTCCAAGAAATTCCATCCGTCTCATCTTCGCTCTCTTTCCCTTTTCTGTAATCCCACCAGATTTCTGTTGGCAGCTTGTGTAACCTACATGATGTATAGGGTGCTTCGTATCGACAATCATATTCACAGGACGTTGTTAAGGTTGGGGCATCTCAAAGCCCACCACCAACAAGCTTTAACAAACAACAAGTGATGATGTGACGCCAAGCACTCGAAATCCCCAAACCTTCGATCGGAGTATGTATGATCGAAGCCCCAAACATCCTCCGGAAGCTACCAAAAAAATATCGACAGGTGGTGATGGCCGTGTCTCATGTCCCCAGGATCTCCAACTACTTGACCGGTTGCATCCGATGTTGAAATATACAGGGTATTTAAAGGGATATAGACATCTCAATTTTAACATGGATTTCTTCAGTTTCTCGTGCAACACTCGTGCAGTACAAGTTTTGCCAATCGAAAACGCTATTAGAATCGGCCCCCAGGACCATGTCCGGAGGTGGCTCACGCCACGCTGTCATATATCACAGAATCAAATGGTTTGAAGGATCTCAATAGTCAGTTTCCTATCGCTATCTCTGTTCGTAATGCTCTCGGGCGCTTATCTCTCACACGCTGGCACTCACTGGGATTTACTATATCTAAATTTTTTAACTTCTAAGACGTCTGCCAATATTAAAGCTACACTTAATATCGTCCGCCAGGGTATATTTTAAGTACTGACAAAAGGAGGAACTTTTTTATGTATAATTTTTATACGGTCCTCATGGTTTAGTTCAGGAGTGTTTTTCCCTACGTTAAAGGGTTTCTGTGGCTACCAACGCTGCACTTCAAATCGTCTGCCATAGCATATTTGAAAACTATGGGAAAAATTGTATTTCTTGATGTACCTAAATCTTTTCGGTGACCCTTATAGTATAGTAATTTAATTGATCACCTAAAGAAGTCACTTATTCAGCGCCGCCCCAAGTTAATGCTGCCACTTACGGCTGGCAGACGAGTGATTTTCTTACTAGTTTTCAACGTATACTTTCAGCCTGCATTGTCGAATTTTTTGTCGGTTATGGTTTAGTTACTATGTACGCTGCCTCCCGGTCTATACGGTAATAGAGTTTTCCACTGTGTATTTCGGAACATGCATGTCGAGTATCGCGTATATCTTCTGGTACAGCTCGAGCATGGTTGCGTTACCATTGTGATGACAGTTCAGCGATGTCCAATCAACATTGGAAAATGCATCATACAGGTGGAAGTAGTTGTCCATACTGAAGTTATAATTTTTATTCTAATCAGTGGGGGCAACATTACACATCTTCATTTTTGGTACAGAAATGTCGATGTCCAACGCTGGGTGGTGAGAGTCCTCAATCAATATTGGAAAATCAGTACGCCAGACATTACACTTAACTTTGTGTGACAGAACCAAGCCCAGCAACCTATTGTTATAGTTTAAGATGGGATTATGTTGAGTTAGGTCATAAAGTGCAGTAAAACTATTAATTAAATTAACTTTAGGATCATTATCAGGATGCTCCGCATAACGGGTTATATTTTGACCAAATATAGGTACTCAGTTGATCAAAACAGTCGAAAAAGTGCTCTAAAGTCTCTACATTCACATCAGGCGGTACATAGATACCAAAAATAAGCAGAGAGATCGATTGTCGAGTTACCTTGCATCCAACGATATCAATTAACGGCAAGGTGGAAAAGCATGTAAGGTCAATGACCACAGAACTGATACAATCATTAGTTGCTAACAAAACGCCACCACCACGAGACCTTTAATCAAATTTACGGTCGTCACGAAACACAATATAAGTACTTGGGAAAAGTTCACTGCTCGATATATCGGCCGACAACCATGTTTCAGTGAAACAAATTAAATGGTGATCGGAACTAACAGTTTCTAGGTAGGTGTTTAATCTCGGTATGAGATTAAGATAGGTTTGGGGTGGATTGTAAGGCGGCACCCGTCACTGTGCCAAATTGTAGACTTGGAACCTTACACCCCAAATGAGTAAGAACAGCCTAAGCTATAATACTGGTTTATTCATAATATTTACACGTTTATATACAAAATTATTGTCCTAGTTCTACCATTTGTTTACCTAGCTCAGCGATACTATTATTCTATTATTTGCATTTTCATGCCTTACTCAACACTGACCTGCTTTATATCTATGCATAATAATGATGTCTTAATACCTACTTATTACATGAATTACTTAATTAATATTGTTTAATTATAGATTAATCCCAGATTAATCTGTGATTGAACATTCTGCCGGCCGCAATGGTGCATGTACAGTTGACAACTGAACATCTTGCCCCGGCCGCAACGGCTGACTGGTACCTGGGTTGGCGTACAGTGGCTCCATCATCTGTGACTCCTGTGCTCGTTCTGGATTTGAATGGATTGTTATTAGCTGCTGTACACTTCTTCTGCTGATCTTTCCTCCTTGTTTGCGGATCGTTACTACTCGTACCTTCCCATCTTTTGCGGGATGTACTTCTGTTACCCTTGCTAGCGGCCATTTTGCTGGGTGTATATTATCTTCTTTTATTAGTACCACATCGTCGACTGCCACGTTTTCTTTACTTTGCTTCCATTTGTACCTTTGCTGTAGATTGCTTAGGTATTCTGATGACCATGTCTTCCAGAAGTCTCTGTTCATTTTTTGAATCAACCGCCATCTAGCACTCAGGTTCTCTTCGATGGTGACGTTTATATTTTCGACTGGACCAATTAATGCTTTTCCAATTAAAAAGTGACCGGGTGTTAATATTATGCCTCCTGGTTCACTGATGAGTGGTATTAGCGGTCTCGAGTTCAAGCACGCCTCGATCTGATATATAAGGGTTGTAAGCTCTTCCTATGTGAGATTCGCTTCGCCAATAACTCTTCGTAGGTGATGCTTGACTGATTTTACTCCAGCTTCCCACAGCCCTCCATGATGTGGTGTGGCTGCTGGTATAAAATGCCATTTAATTCCGAGTGTGCCTTCCTGTTTCTTCCCAACTTCCTCTATCACGGTCTGTATCTCAGCTTGAAGTAAATTGCTGGCGCCTACGAAGTTCGTCCCGTTGTCACAGTATATGTGCGCACAATGACCTCTTCTTGCCATGAACCTTCTTAAAGCAGCCAGAAATGTTTCTGTCGACAAGTCACCAACTGCTTCCAGATGTATTGCTTTGGTTGACAGACAGACGAATATACCTAGGTATCCTTTGTACGCCTTGTGACCTCTTCCTTTCCAGGCTCGTATGCTGATTGGACCGGCATAATCTATCCCGGTGTGTGTGAATGGTGGATTTGGTGTTACCCTGGCCGTAGGTAACTGTCCCATTAACTGATGCATTGTTTGCTTCCTGTACCGAATGCATGTTGTACAGCTGTGGATGATCGCTTTTACTGCTTTCTTGCCATTTATGATCCAATATTTCCTTCGTAAGTATGCGCTTGTGAGCTGGACTCCTCCGTGCAAGGTCCGGATATGTGCGTCCACTATCACCAGGTGTGTTAACTGCTGTTTTGGTGGTAGTATTATGGGATGTTTTTCGTTAAATGCCAACCTCGAATTGTGCAGTCTTCCTCCTACTCGCAGCATTCCTTCTCCATCCACGAATGGGTTTAGTGATGTTAACTTGTTGCTGTTTTCCAACTGTTGCTGCCTTTGAAGTGTTTTTATTTCTTTCCCAAACTCCAACCTTTGCGTCAGTGCAATTAGCTGATTCATCGACCTTTCCAGCTCCTCTACTTTTACGCACGTCTGTTGGCTTGGATGTTTTCTGCAGGCCCTGCTGAATCTATTGCAGTAGGCTATTACCCTTAGTAATCTTGATAACGATGAGAACCGACTTATGATACTATCGTCTTTCAACGACGTTGTGGCTACTAAACATCGTTTCATCTCTTGATCCGTTGTGACTTTCGGTGTTTGATACTCCTGCCATTCGCTTGTTTTCAACCATTCGGGTCCGTTCCACCAGATTGGGTTGGCTTGAATTTTTGATGCTGGGTATCCCCGTGATAAGATGTCGGCTGGGTTTTCCTCTGTGCGAACGTGCTTCCAGTGGTGGTGAGGTACGAGCTTGTTTATCTCTGTAACTCGATTAGCCACAAATGATTTCCATCGATTAGGGTCTCCTTTTATCCATGCTAACGCTATAGTTGAATCACTCCATGCATATATTGTGATGTTTGGAATCTCCAGAGCTGTAGCTGCTTTCTCCAGTAGTCTTGCTAATAAAACTGCCGCGCACAACTCCAATTTAAGTATGGTTATTTTCGTCTTGATTGGTGCTACCTTCGTCTTTGATGTGAGTAATGTTACTTCTCCATCCTTCGATCTGGTGTATACTGCAGCTCCATACGCTTTTTCGGCAGCATCGCAGAATCCGTGTAGCTGTAGCTCTTCGTCTGTGTGCTGAATCCATCTTGGGATCTTTAATTCTTGTAATAGAACTACCTCCTTACGAAAGTTTGTCCATTTTTCCGCTATATCTTCCGGTACTTCCTGGTCCCATGTGACTGACTTCATCCATAGCTCTTGAATTAATAATTTTGCTGTTATTGTCACTGGGCTGACTAATCCTAGCGGATCGAATATCTTTGCGATATCTGACATTATGCTGCGCTTTGTCAGTGACTTGTCGCGGACTTCCACTCTGAACCTGAATACGTCTTGTTGTGGGAACCATCTCATCCCTAATGAGGTTCTTGCTTCGTCCTCTCTGATTTCTAGTGGTTCAGGTACTTGCTGATCTTCTTTCCATAAATCTGGATCATTTCCGGCCCATTTTCTCAGTGTAAATCCTCCTGCATTCAGTAAGCTCATTAACTCTCCCCGCAGTAGTTTTGCTTCTTCTATCGTGTTGGCTCCTGTTAACACATCATCCACGTAATAGTCACTGAGAGTTACTGCGCCGCCTTTGGGTAGTTATGTGCTTCGTCTCTGGCCAATTGTTGCAGCGTTCTTACCGCCAAATATGGTGCTGATGCTGTCCCATATGTGACCGTTGTAAGCTGGTATTCCCTGATTTGTTCTTGCGGTGCGAACCTCCAAAGAACCGTGTGATATCGATGATCTCTTTTGTCCAGCTTGATCTGCCGATACATTTTTTCTACGTCCGCTGTGATGGCATAGCGATGTTTTCTCCATCTGACTAGTAGACTCCAAAGATCTTGTTGTAGCCTTGGACCTACGTGCATAACTTCATTTAGGCTCTTCCCCTTTGCCGGTCTTGAGGATGCGTCGAAAACAACCCTCAACTTGGTCGTCGCACTGGACTCTTTGATTACTGCTTGATGAGGAATGTAAATTCGTTTCTCCTGTGGATTGGTGGCTAATTTCATGTGCCCCAGTTCCAAGTATTCTTGCATGAAGGCTTTGTACTCCTTCTCCAACTTGGTGTTGACAAGGAACTTCTTTTCTAATTGTACTAATCTTGCAACCGCCACTGGCCTGGCACTTTCCAATACCGACGGGTCCTCTTTGAACGGTATTCTTACTGTGTACGTTCCATCAGTGTTTCTTACGGTGGTTTCCTGGTAGTGCTGTTCACACTCTGTATCTTGTTTGGACGGCCCTGCTGGGCCTGGTATTTCTTCTAGCTCCCAGAACCTTTCTAACTGTGTGTTCTTTGTTGCTCGCGACACCATGCTGATTAATGTCACATTATGTCCCTTTGGGGTGTGTATCTGCCCTGACAGGATCCATCCCAATTCTGAGTTCTGGGCCAAGCAGCTGTCTTCTTTCCTTATGCCATCCATTATGATGTTGGCGTAATCTTCTGCCCCCAGAAGAATGTCTATGGGACCTGGTTTGTTGAGAGTGGGGTCAGCCAGCAGTTGGTTTCTCCATCGATCGGTGTTGAACTCGAAAGACTTGCTCGGAAGCTCCCCTGTGATCCTCTTCAAAATTACTACGTCCGTTGCTAATGTGAACGTGCTTGAATGACGTGGTCGTAGCTGGATAGTGATCTTGGATGTTGCCTTCGTTGGTTCTGACCTCCCTAAGCCGCTAATTTCTGCCCGTACTGCCTGCCTGGGTAGCCTTAGCACTTGTGCTGCCTGCTCGGTTATAAAGGATGCCTGAGACCCTGGATCCACCAATGCTCGTAGTACGTGGAGTTCGCCCATAGCGTCTTCCACTCTTACTAGTGCGGTTGCCAACAAGACTTCATTCTTCCCTGCGATTCCGGTCTTCACCTCTTTAGCTGTTGACGCATGTACTGCTGGCTTCTGGACTGCGGACTTCTCGTAATCTTGATGTAGTATTGTATGATGTGGATATTGGCATGTTGCACAGCGTCGAAACGATCTGCATTTGCTGTTGCAATTGTGATTCATGCAGTTCACACACAACTGCCTCTCCTTCACGAATCCCAGTCTATTTGCTGGTGACAACTCTTTGAACTTATTGCAGTCACCTAGTTTGTGCTGTTGTTTGCAGTACGCACACCCTTGCTGACGATTGTTCTGCCATCTTTGGTGTCCTTGGATTGACTCATGTTGAACTTTCCGGGCCTGGGACAGTACTTCTAATGATTGGAATCTCATCTTAAGGAATTCCATCAGCTCCTGTAGGGATGGTGTTTTGTTTGGCGTTTTTAGGGACTGCTCGAATAGTTTATTTGACTCTGCATCCCATGTTCGTGCTATGATTCGCGCTACTATTGGACCCCAAGCTATGGTTTCTATCCCTTGATTGCTGATCGCTTTCAGACACTCGTGGGTGGTGTCATGTAATCTCCTAATGGCGTCTGCCGACTCTTGCTCAATTTTGGGAAAATCTAAAATTTTATCGATTAATTTCCCTACTATTAGCCTTTCGTTGTTGTATCGATTTTTGAGAATGCTCCACGCTGTATCGTAGTTGCATTCTGCTATTTGGAGGTGCTGGATTAACCTTGATGCTTCCCCCGTGACGTGACTCTTCAGATACTGCATCTTCTCCGTAGCTGATACCGTTTTGCTGGCGTGTATTACTTTTTCGAATATATCCTGAAACGTTACCCAATGCTCGTATCCACCGCTAAAAACGGGTAGCTTCATCTCATGTAACTTGATGCTGCATTTCTTTACTTCGTGACTGACGGTTTTTAATTTAATGCCGATTGCCAGATTTGTTTTTTCGTACCACTCTCGCATCTTTTCGAACTCGTGTTCTACGTCGGTGATATCCTGAAACTGGGTTTCGTGTACCTGTATATCTTCTTGTAGACTTCTCCGGCTCGAAGGACCATGTTTAATCTCGGTATGAGATTAAGATAGGTTTGGGGTGGATTGTAAGGCGGCACCCGTCACTGTGCCAAATTGTAGACTTGGAACCTTACACCCCAAATGAGTAAGAACAGCCTAAGCTATAATACTAGTTTATTCATAATATTTACACGTTTATATACAAAATTATTGTCCTAGTTCTACCATTTGTTTACCTAGCTCAGCGATACTATTATTCTATTATTTGCATTTTCATGCCTTACTCAACACTGACCTGCTTTATATCTATGCATAATAATGATGTCTTATACCTACTTATTACATGAATTACTTAATATTGTTTAATTCTAGATTAATCCCAGATTAATCTGTGATTGAACAGTAGGTAACACTGAACTTTGGATGTTACGAGTGCGAGAGCACAGAGGCCGACGGTAACTGCCGAAGTGGATCGGGAGTTTGTAATGTTACATGTGAAAAGTCATTGACTTCGTTTGTTTCTAACGTAGGAGTGAATATTCAGAAAATGGTAAATGAAAAATTAATATGTAATATGCAGTGCCTATTTTATTTCTTGCAGTGAACGGATTGACAACATATGTAAGAAAATGCGGCATTAGGACCTTTAATGTCACCTTGTAAAAGTAATAATTGTAACACAAATTCTCTTTAAAAGAAGGTCAGGTTATTGTCAATTTGGTAGGATTTATACATATTTGAAGCAAAAGCTTAAATAAAACAGCTCTCCACACCACTCAGTATGTCCTTCCTTTCCCCTGGGGTACTTCTTTTGATTTCTTCACATATTTCCTGATATTCAGGTTCATCAGATTTTTTGACAGAAAGAAATTGAATATTGTCACCCCAGGTCACCATTCTATTCTATTCTATTCTCAGGGGAGCCCGACCGGGCAGCACTTAGGCACATCAGAGGCCCATTGTGCCTACCCCCTTTCTTCGCAACTGAGTTCAGAGCCCGTTCCTCTCAATGAAGGATAGGACCCTGTTTAGCCTAAGTTGCTTCACCCTCCTCGGTTCCAGGTATCTGTCTCCAAGGAGTTGATATCTGTCCCTGATCAAAGCGTCACAGTGACAGACCACATGCTCGGTAGTTTCATCTGCCTCGCCACAGAACCTGCACGTGGACTCCTCCGCGAGCCCAATGTTATGCAGGTGATAGTTGACCATCCAGTGTCCCGTAAGGACACCGGTGATCTTCCTAATCTGGCTTCTATTCAGTTTTAGAAGCTTAGAAGACTCCGATTTGCCAAGGGGCCCTGTTAGAAAGGCATTGGACTGCCGGAGTCCGGTTACTTGTTGCCACTGAGCCTGGAATTGACTGGTCAACCAATCTTTAATCCTGGCCCTAACAACGGAGGGAGCAATCCCTAGGGTAGGCTCGGGCCCGACGAAGACTCCACCACTGCCTTCGCGAGCCAACTCGTCCGCCCTTTCGTTGCCCCCTATTCCGCAGTGCGCTGGCACCCAAATCAAGCTTACCCTATTAGACTCACCTAATCTATCTAGGGTTCGCCTGCAATCAAGCGCCGTAGCTGATCGGAACCTGTCTACCGACAGGGCCCTCAACGCCGCCTGACTATCACTGCATATGTATATATGCTTGTTACGGTAACCTCTACGGAGGTTTTCCTGTGCACAGGTCATGATGGCTAACATCTCTGCCTGAAACACGGTGCTATGCTGACCAAGGGAGACGCTGACGCTGGCTCTCGGTCGATCACCATATATACCCATGCCCGTTCCCCTTTCTGTTTGGGACCCGTCTGTAAACCACACGAGCCCCTCAGGTTTGAGGAACGGGCAATCCGAGTTCAGCCACTGCTCCCTATCCGGGAGAATGACTTTATAACGCTTTGGTCTTAGCAAGATAGCCCGGATCACGTCCCTCCTTGCGAGGAGGGGATCGGTCCTGAGGGTTTCCTCCCAGATCCGCCCGTGCCGAAGGCTGCCTCGATCCTTCCATTCATCCCAATCGTTTAGCCGTATGGAAGCTTTCCGAGCCTCTGCCTCCACAGCTAAGTGTAAAGGCTCTAGGCCCAGAAGTGCCTCCATGGCCAAGGTTGGCGTGGTTTTTAGGGCTCCAGTGACTCCCAGACAGGCGAGTCGCTGGACCTTTCCTAGCTGCTTCCTGTAGGTTACCCTGCGCATGGCAGGCCACCATACAAGTGCACCATACAGTATTATTGGCCTTCTCACTGCAGTGTAAAGCCAGTATACCAGTCGAGGGTTCAAGCCCCATGTACAACCAAAAGCCCTTCTACATGCCCATAGACATGCAGTGGCCTTTTTGCTTACGCGCTCAATGTGCCCTTTCCAGGTCAGGCGGGAGTCAATGATGACTCCCAGGTATTTCACTGACCTGGTCAGACCCAGTTGACGTCCTCGAAGAGCGAATCCAGCAAGATCCGCTCTCCTTCTATTCGTGAATGAAACAACCTCGGTCTTTTCCGGGTTAACGGAAAGGCCATGGCTACTGCACCACCTATCCACCTGTTCGAAAGCCCCCTGCATGAGCTCTTTCACGGTGTTTGGAAACTTCCCAGTTATGACGATCGCGAGATCGTCCGCGTATCCCTGTGTATACGCTCCCCCCTCGTTCAAGGTGCGGAGGAGCCCGTCTAGTACCAGGCACCACAGAAGTGGAGACAACACCCCACCCTGCGGACATCCTCTAGTAACCGATGAGCTCATCTCCGTCATCCCAATTGAGGATACAATGACTCTGCTTTCGAGCATGGCTCGGATCCATCTTACGATCGACCCATCAATACCAAAGCTCTCAGCAGCCTCACTAATCGAATCGAACGTGGTGTTGTTAAACGCACCCTCGATATCTAAAAACGCTCCCAGAGCTATCCCCCCGGAAGACATTCCCTTTTCCAGCCTGCACACCAGGCTGTGTAGAGCCGTCTCCGTGGACATACCAGCCCTGTAAGCATGTTGGAACGGATGTAGTGGTCTACTAACCAGTACGCCATTCCTAATGTATGCATCCACCAGCTTCTCCACCGTTTTTAGAAGAAACGATGATAGGCTGATGGGCCTATAGTCCTTCGCCACGTCATATTTAGCACGACCCGGCTTAGGTAGGTACACAACTCTTACCTTCCTCCAGCTTTTGGGGATATACCCTAAAGCCAGAGAGGCTCTGAAGAGATGCAACAAGTGTAAGAGCAGCGGCTCCAGGCCCTTCTGTAGACGAACCGGGAATATCCCATCCGGTCCTGCACTCTTAAATGGGCTGAACGTGCTGACCGCCCATCTCAGAGATCCCTCGGTAGAGATCCCTCGGTAACCACCCGGGAAGCTACCTTCCAGTTGATCGGCCTTACACCGACCCGAGTAGCTCCCTTTGGTGGGTCCGAAGTTAAGTAGTCCCCAGAGCCTGGAAAGTGTGTTTCCAGGAGACATGTGAGAGCCTCACCCGCGGTAGACGTATATCTACCGCATGGAAGCCTCAGTGTCCCCACCTTTTGCCCCGGGTCCTTCAAAAGGATTTTACGAAGTTTTTGAACTTCAGGAAGACCTTCCATGTTACCACAGAAAGTCCTCCAAGATCCTCGTTTCGACCTCCGAATATGGTCCTTATACCTGCGCTGGGAGATCTTAAGATCTTCCCAGTCCGCAGGTAACTTAGTTCGCATGGCCCTATTAAAGAGCTTGCGAACCTCCTTACGAGCCTTTTCAAGGTCTGAGTTCCACCAAGGTGTTCTCTTCTTTCCTCGAAAGGTACGCAGTTTACAGCTGTCCTCATAGGACGCTGTTATGGCGTCACTTACTAATGCGACCGCCTCTTCCACCTGCCCTGCTTTCCGACAGAGCAGAGGTGGTCTATCCAACCGGTCCGACAGTTTTGCCACATAGCAGTCCCAGTCAGTGGATCGGGGATTCCGAAACCTACAGGGCCCGCAGTGCAATGCCAGGTTCAGTTGGAAAAGAATGTGCCTGTGGTCCGAAAGCGACGGCTCATCAGACACTCTCCAATTCGTGATCATGTGAGCTATTGAAAAGGAGCCCAGCGTCAGATCAATGACCTCCTGCCTCCGGGCTGTGACGAAGGTAGGGGCTGCTCCCTGATTTAAAACATTCAAATCAGTTGTTTGCAAGTACTCCAGAAGGTGGTCGCTCCTCGAGTTCGTGTCCGTGCTGCCCGCTGCCCTACACAACATGGTGTGCGTTTGCATCACAGCCAACCACAAGAGGGAGCCCACTACTTCGACAGTACTCTATCAACTCAGCCAGCTCCTTGGTTGGTGGAGCCCCTTCTGAGTCGTACGGGAGATAAGCGGAGCAGACCACCAAGTGCCTGCCCCGTCCTCTGTCATCTTTCAGCTGAAGTCGTAGAGCTACGAGATCCCTGAAACAAAAATCAGCCATTAGATAAGACTCGATTCGTCTATCGACATAAATGCAAGTCCTCGGGTTCAGTTGGCTGTCCCTCTTATAATAAAGAGAGTCCTCCACCTGGCCCAGACCTCTTACTCGTCCCTTGTAAACCCAAGGTTCTTGTATGAGGCATACGCCTGTCTGCTTTACAGCAAGTTGACGACCTAATTAGACAGGTCGCCCCCTTACTGTGCTGCAAATTGCTCTGTAAGAAGGTTACTTTGTCCATCACTGATGTACTAGGTTCCCTCCTCCTTTAGCGATGCCGACGGTTCCGACCCCTGGTCGGAGCCAAGAACCGCCACACGAGCCAAAAGCTCGCTGACATCTTTCTCGATCTCTTCGGGCGCCGGGAGCAATCCCGCCGCCTCTTCGAGATCAACACTGCGAGGTTGGGCCCCCTCCGTCGCAACGGAACTAGGTCCCGCTGCTTCGGTGGAGCTCTCTCCCTTACCTTGCGCAGCCGGAGCACCCGCCTTCGTCACAAAAGTGACGCGCGAGACCCCCGCGTGCGCCTGGAAGTTCTGTCGCTGGAGTGCCTGATAGGACGTCTCATCGACACCAAATGCGAGGAGAATCCTACCAGGCTCCTCCCTGCGAAAGAACGTCCTCCATAGACCATAGGATTTTGCCTCTGGAGGCGCTTCAAAATGGTGTCCGTGTCATCCGGGAGCCCGTACAACACAGCCATCACCTTGGTTACCCTCGGGACGTGCCTCTGAACTTTCAGCGACGCGCCATCCCAGGGCCTGATAAGAGGGACGGTCCTCTCCAACCAGTCCAAGGTCCACTGGTCCTCGCATTCGGCCACGATGGCACCCTGCGGATTCCAGCGGAACCCTGCCAGCCGAGGAAAGGGCCCTCCCTCCATCTGGTCTACGACTGCATTCAATGCAGCCATAATGCACCTCGACTGAGCCTCAGAGATGTCCACGTCCGGGTATGAAACCGGAACGACGGCCACCTTAAGCCCTGCCGCAGCGACTTGCCCATAAGTTCGTGGTGCACCCTTGGGTGCATCAGAACCTCTAGGCTTCTTCTCAGGCTGCCTTGAGCCAGACCCTGGAGTGCTTCCCTCTGATCTGAGACGCTTTGTCCCTGACGTGGGGTTGCCCCCCTGAGCCAACGACCCAGACGCAGCCTTAGGCTTTGGCGCAGGGCCCGCTTGACCCGAGGTTTTACCCTCGAGCCGGCGCTTCCTGGCCATCGCCTTCTGTGCGCCAGTCCTATTCTTCTTGCGAATAGGAGCTGACCCACCACCAGGTCCTTGGGTAAGGCCCTGCGTTGGAGCCGTCCCCTCTTTCGAGGAGACTGCCCCGTTACCGGGCCCCTTTTGAGGGCCCGGCTTGTTGGTCCCCTCTGACGAGGAGCCCAGAAAGGTTTTGTGTGAAGATTCCATACAATTCCCACGAGTAGTGCGGAAATGCGGTCTCACCTGGGCAGAGCCGCTTGCCCAGGGCTTGGCTGCCAGCCCCTTCCCAAAGGAAAGGAGCCACCACTCGGAGGTCGCCCGGTATCCGAGGGGCACCGTTATCGACACTGCACCCCAGTGCCACGCAGTCCTCGGCACGGTCGCTAACACCTTGACTTGGGAGGTTGGTCCGCGGCGACGACCTTCGTCGCTACCAGTCTGGGTTTTAGCCCCGACGAGCCACTTATAATCGTCACTACCCACACCGATGCACGAGTCACGTACGATCATTCAAGTGTCTGTATGGGCTTTCCCCTATCCGCCACCCGGGGACGCGCCCGATGGGTGCCTAACCACACGGGCCAGGTCACCCTTAGAGGAAGGGATACTCTTTTGGTGGCGCGGTATCTTGGCATTTTAGGTTGATCTGTATGTTGACCAATTTTCCAAAAACATCACCATCAAGGGAACGAACGAATCCTTTGCCCATTTCCGTTTCTGAAGTTTTTCAAAATTTCCAAACAGACACGGGAGATCGGGACAGGAATAAAACGAACGGGGACGGTAGTCAGATTTTAAGCTTTGAGCCGATCGGGAAACTAAGCTAAAGCGGAAATAAGAATAGGGGGATCCAAACGAGAGGATATTCAAAAATACAGAATCGGAAAACAATTAATATTGGAGACCAACACAAAACCGAAACGTGGAGCAATAAGTGAAGTGAAAAGAGAAATGGGGGAGGCTTGCGACGGAAGGACACGAGATGGAACTCAGGGATGGAAACATGCAGAAAAGGCAACAAGAACTGATATCGGAAATTGGAAAGGGAAATGAACGGAAAACAGGATACGGAAACCAAGTCAGCTTTGCTTCACTCATTTCCTATAAATTATATTTAAGTCTCTGATGTTACAATTTATTGAAATATGCACACAGTTCAATTAATATCCTTCGACATTTTTTAAAGAGGATTTCCGTTACAATAATCACTGTAACAAGAATAACAGTTGCCAATGTCTCGACCACGGTTTCTCATTTCATCGCAAGCTGAACTTATCAGTTCACCGTCGCACTTTCTGATATATTTTGTCACCCCGCTCACTACGGAAGAAGTAAATAATAGAAAAAGCAGTTATTAACTTTTCATTTACCAGTTTCCGCAAATGCAAGGCACACCCTCACGTGATTCGAAGGTGGGGGTGAACATGTAACGTTACGAACTCCCGATCCACTTCGGCAATTAGTGTCGCCCTCTGAGCTGTCGCATACGTAACAGTTCAGTGCTGAAATGAAACGTTTAGAAATTTCTGAAAAGGAAGTGTATACTCACATGCATTGACAACATGAACTAAAAAGAGAGTAGCCAATAGTGTTTTGATATACATGGTAAAAATATAACTTGCTACCTACTCACTTGACGCACATATTTATACCTACTTACCCCCCTAAAAGTAGGTAATTAATTTGAATTATCAGATGGCGGGATGGCGCCTCGTTCAGGTGTGGCGAAACAGTATCGTTATCAAAGGAAATTTTCTTGAGTGGTTTGTTTACTGCCGAATTTGATTGAATAACATGTTTTTTGTTCACCAATTTTATTACGTCACTACAGTCATTTGAAAACGTCCCTACTACCTGCTTATTAAAATCACCGCCTTCGGTTGAAGAAGTCCATTCAGTGGCTTGTTGCTGAAGCAGAAAAAGTTAGTACCTGCAAAATTCAAATTATAAAGAATATGAAAGGTTGTTGACGTGGATGAATAGGAAAAATCTTTTTCAAAGATAGTCTTAAGTGGATCGTTAATGCTGCCATATACACTGTGTTTTTTTTAAGACGGGCCATACGATAATGTAAAGGCGTTGAGTTATTTAAAATGGGCCATAGGGAAAATTTACATTGCATCAATTCTTTCAGTCATAGCTTCCTCGCGAATCATCTCTGCCACAGTACTGTAGAAATTGTATCTTAAATCAATAAATTTATTCAAATGAGATATATAAACGTATAAAATTACAATCTGTGCTCGAATTGTTTTCCACCGGCAATCAAACAATACCCGATACTCGACATTGAATAGCTCGCATACCACTCAGCTACTGTGCCCACTGTGGCGCAATTTAATTTCCCTATGGCCCATTTTAAATAACTCAACGCCTGTACATTGTCGTCATATTAATACTGCGATTAGTAAGTGGAACAGATTTTGCAGCAGACCTACTCTAAACTACGTGCGTTTGTGAGAGCATCCAACAATAAGGATACGAGGCAAAGACATCTTTTGCATTTGCAGAAAATGATTTGAGGAGGAGACTCCGTGCATAGTTCCGTATGTCATTCATTATTTGTAGTAACGTTACTTATCATACCTTTAAGAGAAGAGAAGAGCGATTTTAAACGTTTAGGTGACGTTTACGAGGTTTCCGAGGGTGAAAACGACAAAAACAATGGGCCGTATGAATAAAAGTAAGCAAATGCTTATACTTGCAAAATTCAAGTAAATACCTACTCGTAACTGCCCCTTTATACTGGTCTGTTTAGCATGGTTTAGCAGCGCTGTACTGCGTCCTTTCCTTTTGCTTAGAAGGGTTCCTAAGTCGCCCAGTGCGAAGGAGCACTTACGAGTATTTACTTTAAATTTTGCAAGTATAAGCATTTGCTTACTTTTATTCATACGGCCCAATATCCGCAGCTAATTTCTGTGTGGGAAGCATGATTGTATGATATCTCCGAGGATATCTCTAACGTCCGACAGGATTCGAAAGTTTCTTGGAAAGTTTGACCGATTTTCGTGGTTAAGGTGGCGTTTTTGAGGTTCTTCTGGGCGAAGATTACCAAAAAAGACCCACTTTTCCTACAATCGATATCCAAAGTAGGCATTTGCGCTCCTATTTGACAACGCAAACGTCATATTTTTCGAGGAATGTCAATTTGTCGCTTATAAGCGACAAAATAAAAAAAAACCCTCGCTCTCCCAATTATAAACTATAATACAAATATGCATTGCTTAGAGTATCCAATGACAACGAGTAAATGACATCTTTTATGTGGCGCGGCAAATGTCTCTTTCAATCGACGCAATATATCATTTTATTTTTCATTTTATTATATGTCAATTATATCTGTCATATGAGATATATAAAGCAGTCTATGACGCCCGAGGGCATAATGAGAGGGAATAATGAGATGACAATCCATTATGCCCTCTCATTATGCCCTCAAACTGCCTGTCAAATATATTGACGGAGTTATGTAATAAAAAAAGATGCTACTTGATTCGTATGAAGCACTAACAATAATCATTACATTTGTATATTGGAAATGCATTATTTGGAACGATGAAAAATAAAATGTTGTATGCACCTCAGGCATTACTGGATATTTAACCCTCGGACGACTTACAATCCCTCGGGCCAGAGGCCCTCGGTCTCTGTCGCCCTCGGCATAAATATCGCCCTTGATACATAAATAACTATTGCGCTCTTAATATACAAATAGTTATTTTTTTATGAATTTTGAATAAGTATTTTGAATAAAAAGGTCGGTGTAAACTAAGTGCAAAGATGAAACTTATTCATTGAATTCGGTTTTAACTAAAAATTGTTGATTATTGAAACGTATTTACAAGTAAAAAGTCATAAGTCATCAAATGGGAATGCCTCATCATCGCTCAGATCTCCTGTTGCAGTCGAGAACTCGAGATATAAAAAAATATTTAGTTAAGATCATTAAAAATAAAACTCTGACAGTCATATTTATAAAATAAGCATGTACAATTGTAGTTACATATATACTCGGCTCCGATTTTTGCAGTGTTCTTGACAGTTAGAACACTGTAGGGTGCAGGGAAGGCTGTTTCGCAAGCACGAACACCTTATGGTCTCACAAGTTCACTTGCAGCCGCATTTCCCTAGGATTGTGAGCTCCTTTCATATTTACACCTATTTGGTCCAGTTGGGTTCCCAGCCCACTTTGCCTCGTGTCCATCCCCAAGTTGACGGATGTGGAGGGCATTCAGTAGGATAGAAGCAGTGCCCCCACAACACATGACCTGCTTGATTGGGGACAGGAACTGCAGTAATTTATTTTTAGTACAAAATAAATATTTTCCCACATTAGGAGTGGATTTCTCCTGTGCTTCGGGGTCATAGAGAACGGTAGTAAATTCTTCTAAAGTTTTAATTGTTTTTTTCTGTTATTCCTCTTTGTGAATTGGAGAGTTCAAGTAAAGCTGGTGTCACGTCCGGGCGTTTCATCCAAGTCATAAACGCCTTCTTGTTTCCAATAGAATTGAAGCAGGGCGTTGTGCCACAACCTGTGTGACAATGAAAGTCCCATAGGGCTTGTGAATTTTCTTCTTCTTCTAATGCAATCAAATGGGTCGCTATATATCGACGCTAGGGCCCAACACCTGACAGATATCCTTCTTTCAGTCCGAGTACTTAAAAAAAAACAAAATATATATGACCATCAGAACGTCAGTATCTCAAGAGTGGACGAGGATGTTCTGGGCTCCATGCTCCACCATATGTTTCGCATGGAGGATGATTCGCCCGTCCGCCTCTTCTTGCGTAACTTTGTATCCCATCAAAAGGGAAAGCGTTCTCAATCGTAGGAAAATGCGGCTGCAAGTCAACTTGTGAGACCATGAGGTGCTCATGCTTACGAAACAGCCTTCCCTGCACCCTACAGAGTTCTAACTGCCAAGAACACTGCAAAAATAGCAGCCAAGTATATGTACTGCGTACATGCTTATTATAAACATGATTGTCAGCGTTTTATTTTTAATGATTTTAACTAAATATTTTTTATAGCTCGACTGCAACAGGAGATCTGAGCGATGATGAGGCATTCCCATTTGATGACTTATGACTTTTTACTTGTAAATACGTTTCAATAATCAACAATTTTTAGTTAAAAACAGGATTCAATGAATAATAAAAATCAAAGTGCACGCTGTAGTTGATTTGTCAAATTACAAGGTCTTACATGGTCAATTGATGTGGTGTTAAATTAGACGTTCGAGGTCATCCAAGGTCAGTGACCTCAACTGCGGTATCCAATTGCATTTTCAATGTCACCTAAGGTCAATGGCAATTCTGGTGTCAAAATACCCACATAGCAGACCTATATACACTGCATATACCATGTACATTCCACGTGGGATACTGTATATCCATAGAATGTGGAAAAGTATGTCGCAAATGTCCGATGTATGTGCATGGGATATAAGTTTGGCAGACTTCACATAATACATAGTATATACGGTTTGGATGTCTTGATGTATATACATCAGACATGCTATGTATATTGGTATACTGACAACTGGATATACCATGAATATTCCTGTGATATGCAAAGATGTTCAGTAGGATATTCTATGTATATTGTATACATTCAGAATGGATGTTCTATAGAGATTCCTCTAACATTCGGGAAGTTTACTAGCATCTATACCTACATAAATAAATTCTTTTCACGGAGTGGAGCTTTTTGTTTATTAAGTCTCCTAGTATACAATGGAAAATAATTTGTTTTATTTAACACTGTAGTCTTGAGTCATTTTGATCGTGTTCTTGTTCAACACTATAATAGCGCGAGTTCATAACAAATAGGTTGCTAACATACCTGTCATTCTTGTCCTTATAATAATTCCCATCCAATCTTTACACCTCGCACTAATACATATTTGCAACACATAATCCCATGTATATACATAGCACATCCAAAATGTATATTTATAGAATATCCATACTGGACATAAAATACATATGTCTATAATGAATATACATAGTATATACATAAGATGTACAGGATATTCCCTGTACATTATGGATTTAAAATGTATATACTTTAGATATCGAATGCTATGTGGGTATAATCTCAAGAACATCCAAGGTCAATGACGTCATTGTTATGTAGTGTCCAATTCCATTTTCTCGGTTATTCAAGAACAATGAACCCATTTCTGTGGTGTCAGGTTATATTTTCAATGTCGAAGGGCGTAGTGTCTAATTACATTCTGGAGGTAATCCAAGGGCAATGACCTAATTTTTTGTTTTGCACCACTCGACCTCACAAGGGCATTGCTGGACTGCCGAATTTGGAGATTTCATTCCGACTATTTGGATAAGTATAAGTAACCGCCATTATTTAAATGAGTTGCAGTGAATCCGCTCGATTGAGTTGGGCCTTGTCTCAAAAGAAGCGCTCAAAATAACATTCTTACCTGGCACGCCTCTTGCGCCCTCCTTGTTCCCTGCGTCTCCACTCTCAGATATCGTCACGCCGGTAAAGCGTCGCGCGGGTAGCGTCTCGAAATTCGCCGACTTTTCCGCTTCGTCATGATTTTAGGCAGCTCCTCGCGCGTCGCGTTGCAAAATTGCAGAACGATCCGCTCGGACACCTCCCAATTCCGCGGGAACATGCCGCCGAGCCGATCCTCGAACTCGATCAGATGCCGTTTGAGCCAC